TGTGTATGTACAACCACACACACACATACATATATACTGTATATATATACATACACATTTATAAATTCAATATATATATTTCATTTCCATTTAGTTTGTTGAAGTATTAAAATAACTCAAATTAAATCAACTAAAAACTTAATAAAAGACCTATACAGACATAATAAATTCAGACATAATTTAACTAAAATACAAATAATACAAATCAAATGACAGTAGTTTATCAGTAATCCTAAAAAATAACACTGCCAAACTTACATGCTAAAAAACAACAACTTACACAAAGTAAGAAATGGTTATAAAAACTGAAACAGAAGTGAAACAAGTAGTAGGAAAGAGGAGAAATAAAAAGCGACACTTATCCTTTGCCGGATAATATATATAATATATATTATATATACATAATAAATATACACAGTACACACACATATATTATGTAAACAAAAACTTTTATTTTTTTTAATGCGATTTTGACGGCACTATTTAAAATGGTCCGTTTCTCCAGGAAAACTGATCAAAATATTGATGGCTTAAGTTGCACTCAATTGCTTGTCAGCGTAGTGCCATATTTCATTTTTTTAAAGGAATAAAAATGAGGCAGTGAGGGACAGAACTGCAGTACATTTACTACTATTATTTAAACATCTTTCTGAAAAAACTTTCACTAGACAAAACCTGGCAAAAATGACACGATCTAGGACTATAGAGTGTTAAGTCTATCCCGCACGTTTCGTCTCGTTTTCATTCGTGTTAAAGGGATCACCCAAAAATAAAAACTTGTCGGCATTTACTCATATTGTTTCAAACCTTTGTGGGTTAATCGTAGCCGTCGACTTCCATGGGATTTTTCCAATAAGAGCTCAGAATAAGAGAAATGTAACCAGTTTAATTTCTTATCTGAATTTCCAGTGGATCAGGGTTATGAGGATTTGGAGCCTGCTTCAGACTATGTGGAGGTTGAGGATGAGTTGAACCTTCCTGCCCCGCAGCAACCCACCTTCACTCCACACTTCGCCACCGTCGAGACTAAAAGTCAAGACCAAGACGCTGTTTCTGAGGATTATGACGACGTTGAAATTCCTGTTAACGATGACAGCGAGGACTATGATGACGTAGGGTAAAAGACACAAAATCAATGACTTTCCCTTCAGCTGGACACATGAGCGGACCCTGAAATCAACTGCACGTTTCCTTCAAGCTACTATTGTACATTATTTGAGCAAAAACAAGTTCTAATAGCATATAAACTACAGATGTGTTTACTTTCACTTCCCATTGTTAGAAATGCAATACATCTTTCAAAAACGTCATTTGATTAGTCATTTTCTGTTGAAGCACCCTACTGTATGAGACATTTGCGCGGAAGTGGGCCTATTCAATAGTTCAAAAGTTCAATTTTTCAAATATTCAAAAGTTCAATAGGCCTATGCATTATATAGTAAGCCTTTTAATGATCTGCACTGACAAATTTCATGTCTGATACTACAGTGTACCTTTATATTATTCCAGTGAATCAAAATTATTTTTGTTAAAGAAAAACAACACACAAACAAGCAGTACTCTGAAACTGATTCCATACATTTATTCTTAAAAAAAAAAAAGAAAGAAAAAAAAAAGAAACAAGTGAACTGGTGACTATCAATAGATATTTGTCTTTCACAGCTGCTCGATTTGTAATCGCTGTTGTTCAGGGCAGCAACAGCAACATATCAAAAGTCAGTTCTTTTTTTAAACCCATGCCCACAGTCAGAGGAGCGTTATGGGCCTTGCAGACATTTCGAGGCGTATGATTTCCGTGCACACAAACTACAAGTCTCCCTCTTGCTCGGTGGAGCTCCTGTTCTTTTGTACACAAGAGAAACAATTTATCTTGCTGTCAGAGATGTCCATTAAGTGGCAGGCACAGGGGGCTGAGACTAGCCTCCTAGTCTCTGACCCTCACCCCAGGCAAAGCCTCCTGGACGGTCCTCAGGGAGAGGGTTGTAGTTGGCATCTTCCTCAGGTGTATCAAACAGCATCTTACTGGAGAAGTAGAAAGAAAGGGTGTTTTACTTCAAAGCAAAGACTACAATATTATCTAGAAGTTTTTATATAATGGTTACTGATGGTGTGGCAAAACTTTGGGATTGTTTTTTTACGTTTTGAAACTAAATAATAAAATAAAATAAAAATAGATATAAAATAAAACCGTGGAAATATTACTACAATTTAAAATATCTTTACTAATTTAATATATTTTAGCATGCTATTTATTCCTGATTTCTGAAGAATCACATGATACTTCAGAAATCATTCTAATATGCTGATTTGGTGCTCAAGAAATGTATTATCTTAAACAGTTCTGCTGCTTAATATTTGTGTAGAAACATTGATTCATTTTTAATACATAAAAAAAAAAATACTTCTTTAATGAAAGAAGTTCATTAAAAAAATGATCATAATAATTACAGATCCCACACTTTTGAATGGTAGTGTATACACCATTTGCCTTGAATACATATAAGCCCTTGACATTGTGAAGACCTGAGACATTAGCACTCACAGGATGGAGGGAGTCCTCAGCCATCTGCCTCCACCTGGTTGGTTGGGAAACACATCCTCCAAAAAGTAGTACACATGTCCCACTGCGATGCCTTTAATGGAAAGACAGAACATATAATACCAACAACAGATTAATTCATTAGTATTTAAAAATTCATATTAAAATGACAAATAATAATGAACAAAATTGGACTAATTTATTGTCAATGCAAGTATCAGCACAAGACAAGTTAATAAATCTGTGAATCCACACAAGTCTCTACCTAAAAGATCTACAATGATGGAGTTTCCCAGCAGCAGAGAGAATCCCATGAGCACCCACGGGAGGAAGGGGGCCTGGAAATTCAAAAGGCCGAAGAAATTCATGCGCACGTTTGGGTTCCTCCTGCTCCATATGTACACAAGCATGATGGTGAAAGCCTGACCTAAGCTGGAGAAGTAGAAAGAAAGGGTGTTTTACTTCAAAGCAAAGACTACAATATTATCTAGAAGTTTTTATATAATGGTTACTGATGGTGTGGCAAAACTTTGGGATTGTTTTTTTACGTTTTGAAACTAAATAATAAAATAAAATAAAAATAGATATAAAATAAAACCGTGGAAATATTACTACAATTTAAAATATCTTTACTAATTTAATATATTTTAGCATGCTATTTATTCCTGATTTCTGAAGAATCACATGATACTTCAGAAATCATTCTAATATGCTGATTTGGTGCTCAAGAAATGTATTATCTTAAACAGTTCTGCTGCTTAATATTTGTGTAGAAACATTGATTCATTTTTAATACATAAAAAAAAAAATACTTCTTTAATGAAAGAAGTTCATTAAAAAAATGATCATAATAATTACAGATCCCACACTTTTGAATGGTAGTGTATACACCATTTGCCTTGAATACATATAAGCCCTTGACATTGTGAAGACCTGAGACATTAGCACTCACAGGATGGAGGGAGTCCTCAGCCATCTGCCTCCACCTGGTTGGTTGGGAAACACATCCTCCAAAAAGTAGTACACATGTCCCACTGCGATGCCTTTAATGGAAAGACAGAACATATAATACCAACAACAGATTAATTCATTAGTATTTAAAAATTCATATTAAAATGACAAATAATAATGAACAAAATTGGACTAATTTATTGTCAATGCAAGTATCAGCACAAGACAAGTTAATAAATCTGTGAATCCACACAAGTCTCTACCTAAAAGATCTACAATGATGGAGTTTCCCAGCAGCAGAGAGAATCCCATGAGCACCCACGGGAGGAAGGGGGCCTGGAAATTCAAAAGGCCGAAGAAATTCATGCGCACGTTTGGGTTCCTCCTGCTCCATATGTACACAAGCATGATGGTGAAAGCCTGACCTAAGAACACAAGACTCACAAACGTGCCAAATATCTGCACAGCCATTAAGAAAATCACAACCGGTATTTGAGCAAATGTAAGATGTAATGCATGTTATACATCTTGAAATCTTAAAGTGCTTATATGTTATATTGTTTTTTGTTTTTTTTAGCAAATTGGATATTTTTGACTGTTTTTACTGTTGTTTCTACAAGGTGTCTCACATGATTTTATTAAATATAGAATGAGGTTAAACATCTTTCATTATTCAGCTTCTATATTTGTCTACATCTTGAGGTTAGAGTGAGAGGTGACTCATTTTCCTCTTCTTTTCTTTCCACGGTACCACAAAACTATTATTTCATTCTGTGAACTTCTCAATAGACAGGATGATGATCTAAAGCATATTAGGCAATTATATGTTAATAGAAACATGCCTAAGTTGGAACATTGTATTCAATGCAATATGTATGATCAACATTTATTTTTTATACTGTATTTTTAACAGTAAAATTTTGAAATATTTTTACTATTTAAAATAACTGTTTTCTATTTAAATATATTTTAAAATGTAATTTATTCCTGTAATTTCAAAGCTGAATTTTAGCATCATCACTCCAGTCACATGATCCTTCAGAAATAATTCTAACATTCTGATTTGCTGCTCAAAAACATTTATTATTATTATTATTATTATTATTATTATTATTATTATGTTGAAAATGTTTTAAATATTGATGATGATAATATAGAATGATTTCTGAAGGATCATGTGACACTGAAGACTGGAGTAATGATGCTGAAAATTTTGCTTTGATCACAGGAATAAATTACATTTTAAAATATATTTAAATAGAAAGCAGTTATTTTAAATAGTTCACAATATTACTGCTTTTGGTGTATTTTGGATCAAATAAATGCAGGCTTGGTGAGCAGAAGAGAATTCTTTAAAAAACTTTAAAAATCGTACTTTTCAAAAACGTTTGACTGGTAGTGTATATATATTTGAATAAAACTTTTGAATGTTTTACATTTTAAAAAGTCCTTAAGAAAGTTTAAGTAAAACGGACTGTCTAAGCAAATCGTTTTTATGATCTGATCTGCTATACAGATAAATAAAATGAGTGCTTCTCTTGAGAAAATGTGAAGGATACAGTCATGAGAAGGCCACCGAAGAGGAACATAAAGACAAAGTCAGCAGTTCTCCCTCTGAAGGACCCCTCCTCCAGCATCCGACAGTACCGGTACCTGTGAGACTCCAGTTAAGGACTGAACAAACCTTAAACTTCAGACACCATCCCTTACACTGCTAAATGTACAATCAACTATGAACATATTATGATATAACAAGGATACAAAAATATCATGTTGAATAAGAAGTTGAACCCAACCGGACCAAAAAACAAAAAGTTGGTTATTAGCCGCCATACCTATGAACACACACACAAAAAATATTTAGAATCACATGCTGCAATATTAACACTATAAAGCCTACTGTACACATTCTATACACATTCTACTATATGCCTTCTGTCATCTGAATTACAATTTCTACTTTTTTTATTAAGTAAAAGGGCTTTTAGTAGGATTCTAAAAATGTTTACCTTTAGGTTGTGGTACACGTGTCTTTTTGCTGTGAAATCTTTAATGATTTTATAAAGTATAAAGAATTCCTTTTATTTTGTTAGCTATATTTCAAAATGAGATTTTTTTCAGTCATGTTCTTTTCACAGGCTTTTTTACATCACTCAATCATCATTGTATTGCAGTGCATTGCATATAAAGGTTATCGAACCAAAAAAGGTTCAATAAACTCTTCGATTTCATTTCTTTTTTTCGGACTATTATTTCATATGTCAGGTTTTACAGGGTACAAAATAAACTTTGTTCTTCAAAGAAATACTTATTTTGACACTTACCTGATAATTCCTCAATATTAAATCTGGGTTGAAGTAAAGCTGGAAAGGTGTGATGAGTTCTAATTGCTGTGGACACAAAGCAAACACCATAATCAGATACAAATGACATGTTGCAGGTAAACAAACAGCGTTTAATGACATTTTAATGCTCCACTAAAATAATAACTGAAATCAAAAGCAAATTCCCTTTGAGCAGCTCGCTTGAGGTTTAACTGTGAAGGTAAGTCAGCTAAATGATTGTAAACACAGGAAGTATGATGTGAACATGCAGACAGAGCAACTGGACTCAAAACCTAGTGACAAGTAACCTTAGATTCATTACTCTTAACATGGCATAACATACACAGACATTTTACCGGAGGGTTTATGTTAAAATGTCCTGAGAACATCCCAGAGGAAACAAGCTGTGTTTTAACCGCACAGGGACGAGGACACGGCCGAAAATAGCGCTTAAGACCCTAATATTCATCCATTTACTTACCACGGCGGCTGTAGTGAGTACGCAGGCGGTGGTATAAGCTCTAGTGACCACAGGAATCTGTAAATATTCCTGTCGGATTGTCTGGTATGCCATTTTTTGGAGCGACAACGCTGTTTCCGGTACCTTCTTGACACGTCATCACCTGGGTAAGCGAATAAAGGAGGCGGTTTTAGTTTTTGATTA